ATTTATAATATAATAGCATATTAAAAAAGTCCTAGGAATTAAAACCTAAATATTATTCAGTAATTTAATTGCAACCAAAATCATTTAACGCTAGGTTTGATTTAAAAAAATAGAAATATATAATTATTTTAAAGAAACGTTATGTTTGCTATAATATTAAAAAAAAAACTTCTTGATCGGTTTAGTGTTTAGCGATGCTAACAATTCAATCCCTTTTAAAGCAAAAAATGCCAAATTTACCAACATATAAGAATAATAAGTATTCCGATACAACATATAAGCGTTTGGGACAAATAACCATGACGTAAATCGTTGAGCCCTAGCTAGAGTCCCGGAGAAGGCTTGGATGTCTTAAGTGTAATGTATCTGTGCGGCATGGCTGCACTTAAAACACTGGCTAGCCGAAAGTTATTTCGAGAAATTTGTGGTTAGGAAGAAAAGGGATGAGAAACATTCAGATACAACTGGGACGAAGCTTCCTCTTTCTCACGAGTGTAGCCTGCAGTGCATCCTGGGCAACAGTCTTGGCTAAATAACCGACAGGATTGAACATTTCTTACGAATGCATTAAGTTGCAAGTCTTCAGACATACAGCAACAACACACTTAAGTAAATGTTTAGTTTAGCCAATTAGAAATTTAGTGAGATAATATACTTTTTGTACTACTTCAAGAAAAAGCAGAAAGTAATTTTCTAAATTTTTTTCATCTTACTCTGAACTCATAGATATTATATTTATTATTTAATAAATCATTTTGTAATGAAAGGAATAGCAGATAGAAATCTACATCGCATTGATTCAAAAGTGTTATAAAAAATGTACGTGACAATAAACATGTGCATATTTTATACCTCGCCTTTCTGAGCTCTGTGAGAACTGAAATAAAATTTAAAAAAAAAAAAAAAAAAATCTTTGTATACACACATGACTTCTTTGTAGGACCTATTAAATTATACGTTTTTTTTTTTTTTTTTTTTTTTTTTTTTTTTTTTTTTTTTTCATTTCATTTAAACTTATATCCTCGAATTTCCTTGGGGATATTTTTCTCATTCAGTTAATTCGGTTCTCGCTTCACGACAAAGGAAAAAATACATAAAGTCTCAAAATATCTTCATCAAAAATTATAAATTATAAAAAAATATAAAACGCCAAATACGGTTTAAAAACAGTTAACATACAAATTTTGCAATTAAAATTAGAGTTTCTACGAAAAAAAAAAAAAAAAGCAATTGGACCAGCGGACAGGACGACAGATTTTTTGGTGCGCAAGATGGAAAGTTTTCTTTTGGTTCCACTCGGTGAAAAACACTGAAGCTGGTTCCCAAAGTGACTTAATTCACTAATCTACTAAGAGATTCAAATATAAACAAATGGTGGCTTCGTTAGGCTTAGTACCCCTTAAACAAAATTTAAATTGTTGATTCTACAACTACTGTATGCAGATTAACTAAAGTCCTAAAAACCTTAACCGGAACATAACAACATAATTGAATCACTTTTAAAGCAAAAAATGCTCAATTTACCAACATATAAGAATACAAAAACTGGGTTCACCGAGCCGGGTAACAGAGTGAGTATATATACATATATACTCGAATAAAAAGGTTTAGAAGCGAACTTGTTTTCAGAAGAAAATTTTTATCTCGACTAAAAGCATAAACAGTAGCTCGGATATTATAATGCTAGCGAATTTGGGCCAAATAACAATTACGTCACATAATTGGAATAACTAAAAATATTACAGGAAATATGCATAGTGAATAGTTTAGTTTCGAATTGATTTGCGGTGTATAAAAGCATTAAAAAACTAACAAATTTCAACAAAAAATTGGTTCCTGTGCGGCCCACAGTGATTATTCTGTACCTAGATACATGATGTTAGAAAACTCAGTTGAATAACAATAACAACTTAAATGTTTATTAATTCTTTAATGTACTTTACAATTGTGGAGCAAATGTAGAATATACCTATCAACAACTAATTTAAAAGTTCTGAAGGAATTGGTGAAATTTTTCTGAAATAGTGGTTGGTAAAAAATAAATAAATAAAAGTCCTTTAAAACAGAATAATTTTTCGCTGATTTTTCACTTGAAACTTTTCCCTTCAGACTCTTGAAAACAGACTTTTAGTCGAAGGTATCATTAAATCGAGCTTTGCAATGTTTTAAATTACACGATTTAGATGGATTATAAATTATTTTAATCAGAGATCTTCTTAAAATTAAAATAAATATTTTAAATTAATAAAAGTACGCGTACAATTGCTTATAAATCGCTCTATTAATAAAGCAATGCTCCTTTTAATTTGAAAAATTAAACTAAAGGTCTTATGTAAAATTAAATGGCAATATCTTGGAGACCTGGCACTTTTATACAACGTGAAAGATAAATTACAGACCTTATGCCTCAACCAATGACAACAAATTGCACGAGGCCGCTTGACTGATAAATGCCTTGAGTAGTATAACATTACTTGACGGTAACGAAAAGTAGCAGCGATACAAATATTTCTAATGTTATTTTAATGGTTGAAAGTAAAATTTCAAAACCATAATTAAACTAATAATATTGTGAACATTTTCTAGCATAACAAAATACATTTCATCCTAATTTCGATTAAAATTGAAATTCTAGATTTTAAATATCAGCCTTCGGTGTTGTTCCTGTATATTTTTTCCTGTATATATTTGTACTATAAAGTTATCAAGACAAAGGTAGCAACACTTTTTTTTAAGCCCAAAGGGGCGTTGGCCCACAAGGGCTATTAGTGTCGAAACTGCATTTTGCGTTGAATTACTAAAAGCGGTGTATCACTTTTCAAATTGTTGCTACCAAATATTATCGCCGTGTATTATATTTAAAGAAATTAAATAATGAAGAATCTGCATGAACGCATGTATGTTTCTTGCGTTGTGAACCCAGAGTTATCAGATTTTGAATAACGTAGTGTTCCACTCGAATATGAGCACCTGGAAGCCCGAATTTGGAATTTGTTTTATTTTGTATTTCATATTTTGAAAAACTGTAATGACTTTTTGATTTAACGAACTGAATGATTTCAAAGCGAGCAGTGGCAACACTGTACGGAATAGAAATTTTTTATCTCCAGCGTGCGAGACTGTCTATCAGAAATTCTAAAGATATTAAGTTTTGTAAAAGGGAACAAAGGGACATTAGCCCAAACGCTCTCGAAGCATATATGTGTGTGTGCAAATGGGGGGAATGCTTTTTAGACGTGATATAAAATCTGAAAACTCAGATATTCTTTATTTTTATTTATTTATTTTTATTTGTTTTGCTTTGGCATGTGGTGAACCTGAATCACGACACAGTGTTTGGATGTCTTACGATCGCCGTGTTTACGTGCGAGAGAGTCATGCAAAACCTGCTAGTCTGAAAATTCCAGTTGTCATAACAAAAAAAGAGGGATAGGTATGTTTGAATATTACCTCACGGTTCCATTTCCATCAAAACTGGGATGTTGACTGATCCTGAAAGCCTCCGGCTATGTAAATTAAGCTCATGATACAGAAAAGATAAACTCTCAGTCCAGTCGCACAGATCGTTTTTATTTAACCAGATGGTTCAGTTTTATTTGTCTTTATACGCACTTAAGATTTCATTAACATAAAGCTAACATTCTTCGCGCACTGGACTTTTAAAAGCGTTAAGAGCATTTTTGGTAAAGAATTTTGAATTGTAAATGTAAGTCCTATGAGTAAAAAATGCGTTTCAGCACATAAAAGAATTTTGCTTCTCGGTTCTAAAGCTCTAAATCTAAGTTGTTTTTTAAGAAAAACTTAGAGTTATTTTATTTCCTTTTTTTTTTTTATTGTATTAGCAGATACAATAAAATAAAAGGAAGGGTTTAAATTTTTTTTAAATTGTAACTCTTTAAATAAATTTAACTACTTTCTTTCTCGTAGTTTATGAATCTAGAATGAAATAATCCAGGTAACGAAACTCTATAAGACAAATAGATCATTTATGAAACTTAACGTAACGTATCGTAAAACAAAAGGAATAAAACGGAGGTTGTGAGCAGCTCGGTGCGACTCACAGTTAACCAGTCCTAGGCTTTACTGAAAAACACTAGCAATACAGCCATATTGACTATGCGGCTTGATCAGCTTTAAAGAGAAATAAAGGCACCACTTTCAAGTGGCACTCCACCGCTTTATTTATTTTACAATTCAAAATGTGTGCTTTCTAGACTGTACTATTTATTTAATTTTTTTTGCTTAGATATTAAAAAACTTCCTCTGTATTATTTTCATTTTCTTTCAAGTTCTTTTAAAAATATATCACATTTTTGAAAATTGTGAGATTTCGCTATATGATCAAAGGATGTGAGATTTTGCTATAGGATCTTTATATGATCAAAGAAATGACCTACAGTTATTTTTAAATGAAATATAATTTTAAGCATTAACAGTGAAAATAATTTTTCGGTCCTAAAAGCGGTTTTAGAATAATTTTTAAACTAGAACCAGCGTTTTATGTTACCTGACTTCATAGCCCACGCTGTTAGACGAGCATTGTTTATTAATAGCACACTGGAGAACAATTAGGCTTCTGTTGTACATTACTTTTCTTATAATTTTCCCCTAATGATATTTGTAGTTGAATTCTGAAGTATGTAATAAAAACCCTCTGATGATCAGTAGCGCATTTTTGGGCTTTGCTTGTCTAAGGTAAGTGAAGATGGAAATTTGCCCTCCCTATCAGTTCATGTCACGCGACGACAGTTCACTCAACGCCCCTCGACCAATAAGACGCATCGCATCCTGCTGGACTTTTCTCCGCTTGTGCCGGATTCGACGAAGAACAGCTGTCACTTGATTAGTGACACGCCTACCAATGGTCGCCCAGTTGATAGGTAAGATCCGCCCAGCAGTGCCCATACGTCACGTACAAGTGTCCGGTCGACAGCGCCATCTATGTGCGGCGGAGCGTAACGCGGTGAACGGGGAGAATAGTGTGCAAATCGCGACTTCCTAAGAAGTTGATTCAGTACGCTGGTTGAGACGGCGCTTAGCGCGGCATAGTGGCATGCAAATATAGCTAGTTTCCGTCGGCTGCTTTTACAAAGCTGGAAAAAGAGACTTTAACCTTTGTACCGTTGTTTACTTTACTTGGAATGATATCTGAATGTCTCATGAGAATTCTTTTAGTTCTGTGACGTAGCAGGGGCCGGTCGTCAGCACTTCTTTTCCGCGGAAAGCTGCTGCTGTATCAACGGCGACAAGTTGGCACTCATTGCGGCTTATGGGATCACTTACCTGTTCCGTCAAGTGAGTTTGAACAGGTATTTGATCAAACAGTTTTTCAGAAGTACGAACAATGAGAACACCATAGAAACTTTTTTCAACTTTTGGTCCTGAAATTCACGACTTTAACCCATCTAGTCACAAAGAATAGCTTAGAATTATTTATTTAAATTTTTAAAGAATATAAAACGCCTTATGCTCAGTATTTTCTTGCTTCTGCCTTGTATATAAGCAAAGAAATTAAGAAAATAATATACAACTTTGTGAAAAAAGGCGTTTGTTGCTCTTGTTGTTTATTTATTGAAAAGAAAACTTTTTCATCTCTATCGTAATGAAGTTGTGACTTTCAAGACTGAAGAAAGTGTTTGCCATCTTTTGTCTTCACTCAGCTTTTGAGTTATTTCACAAATCCGTCATCAATGTTGATTTCGGAAGACGGTATGCAGACTGAGAACGAGAAATCTCAGTCGCCCCATGTTGTCACCAAACCGCAAGCATGTCACAGGGCAACGGACTTTTCCATCGCTGCCATTATGGCCAGAGAAATTCCTGTGGGCTCCAAAACCAGATCAAGCATATCGATACCTGGTGAGTAAATTTTATATTTTAACTTTAAAGCTTTCATTTTCTTTTTAGATTTATGCTATTCTTTTCTGAGACAGCAATGAATGTAATACGACGAGATGCCATTTTTATCGGCTTAACTTTGTCTAGTAATTGCGAAAGTCGTGTAATAATCCTTCATAAGCACTTTATGGTTTCAGTGTATAATTTTCAAATATTTCTTCAAGCTAGTTTTTCAAGGCAAGCTATAATTTAGAAATTTTGCGAAGATTCTTTCAGTTATGAGCACTTGTAGCATTAAAAAGCAATCAGCAAGTTTACATAATGTAGTTGAAAAATTCTCTATCTACGAATTTTTAATTGACTTTTCCTATCTTCTGATCGTTTTGTTTGGCGTATTTTCTACAATCCTGACTGATTACCGTTTTCTGGATTTTGCCAGTGTTATCAGAAATTTTCATAAAACAGATATTATTAAATCTTTTTTCAGTCTTAGTTACACTAAGCTGTTTAATGTAAAGATTTTGAGGAAACTAATTTGATTGATAATTTTATATCGTTTTTATCGTATCATGCATGTTTTATTAATCTCTAATTATAAATAACTTATGTAATATGATGAGATGTAATTATCTTAATGAAATATTTGAATTAGAAGATCGCAGAATACAAGCGCTGTTGTAAGGTACTAATTTTAGTATTTGTAGAACAATCTGTGACTTGAGTATAAAGTTTGATGAAATTAAAATTTTAATAAGGTTTCAAGGCCTGATTAAATAGACCATTTTCTCATAGACTTTGGCATGTTGCTGTAATGCTGCAATATCATTGTGTGGAAAGACGGATTGAATTAATTAATTGATAAATGAACAATTGCATGCTGATTATCTAATTTTGAATTCAGATTATAATTATATTTTTCAATGACAATCTTCTTGACAAAAATTCGGAACATAGCATAAGCAAACTTAAGTTCCGGTAACTTAAATTCTTTAGACTCAAATCTGATTCGAGAAATATGTTAAACTATTCTAAATTAAAACCTGTGATCTTTCTTCATCTTGCTGCATGCAGAATTTCTTGGATAAGGTATTACGAAAATTGCAATACAGAGTGTTGTTTAAAATCCAACATTCAACTATTGACATGATTGTAAGATGTAAAAGCTAAAAGTAAAATTTTGGATTCGTGACAGCAAATTATTCACATTGATACTTAAAAAACAATACAATGTTATATTTTCTGAAACACTTACAAAATTGCATGAAGTACCGAGAACAATAAAATGCAATTTTTTAAACCAACTTTTCTGTAATTTGAAAGCTTTTTTAGTACTGCGTTTACTGTGAGTTGCAATTATTAGACAAAAGCATAATACTAATATCTGTAAAAGTGCTATTACTGCAATAATGATTTACGTACAATTCGTAAATGTTTTATTTATTTGTGAAATTGAAAGCAAGGATCTGATTTCTGCTAGTCTACTTTTGAAGCATTTATCATATAACATATTTCTTTTAAAAAACTTTTATTGTTCAGTTTAGTTTATTATAACTGGAATTAGGTAAAATTCAATAGGCTCATTCCATTTTCATTATTTCAGTTTGTGGAAAGAATTAGGTTAAACTTGTGAATACTTAAGGATGATTCTTTCACATCTTTAAGCAATACAAATCATAAGTTAAATGCTCAGACTTTATCATAAAACTGGAATGACATATGACGAAAACTTCACGTGATAATGTGCTTAAAGAACAGTTTTATTTATTTATTCCTTGTTAATAGCGTATCATTTCATTTTAAGACGCTTATGCTCATTTTTATACTGCTGTTTTGCTTAAAAGGAAGAATTACCTACAGCAAGAACTTAACTCTCATAATTTTTTTTTTTTTTTTTTCCACTGTGGCTCAGTTTTTATCACCAAAGTGGAGACTGACAAAAACAAAGTGAAATTTTATGTTTGATAATAGAAGTCCTATCGGATGAAATTAATTAATGGTTACCTTATAGTGAGAAGGGCATATTTAAAATATAAAATGCACGTTATTTAGTATGCACAGCATGAAATTTGCGCCTCTGGTTTAAAAATAAAGAACTTCAAAATAAATTCTTTGGTTTCAACTACTCGTTTAAGCCTTAGATTTTGCTTTAGATCACAGAACTGTAGTTTAGAGGAAATTTGGTAAAAGTACGTGTTTTCCAATAAGTAATAAAGTATTCTAATATAATTTTGGTATAAAATTCTGTTTTTTTTTTGGGGGGGGCAGGGTAAGAAGTCATGTCAGATCACTTCGAATAGCCATGGTTTTATTCTTTGGCATTTTATCTAGGATTGATTTATTTCTTTTTTTAATTTTAAATTTATTTGGCATGACAATCTTACTTTTGCATGCTCCTTTGTCTTTGTAACAAAGTTGGAAGGCAAACAACTCTCACTCCTCCAAAATCGTTATCCTTTCTTTTAAAAAACGCTAATTTTTGTAAAATTTGTTTTTGTCTAAATTTATCATGATGGCTAAGTAAATTCATTTGCCAACTTTTCTTTGTCTCGGCTATCTGCTTACCTTAATACACTGATAAGAAAGCATCACTGTTAGTGGAAGCCTTCCCCAGTTTTTTTTTTTTTTTTTTTTTTTTTTTTTAGTAAATGGACCTTCTGTTCGCCCAGGTTAGGGCCGTCACCACCCTGAAAGAAACAAAGAAAGAGGGACTTGTTTTGTTTATATTAGTTGATAGCAGGAGTAAAAGCTGAAAGACAGAACTAAACAAAATTCTGTGACAGCACTTTATTGGACAATGCTTTCCACAAAAGAGTTGCTGTAGTCCGATGATTATCCGCTTGTATCTTCTGTCAATCCTTTATAGACTCCTCGTGCTTTCACACCTCAACACTTAGCTTATCCATTATAAGAAGTGTCAATCAGTTTGTTTACACTCCTTCCAGGACGTCAGTTTCACAGCATCCGAATCTGCAGTGGTTTTTACAGTAACAATTGAGTTAACCCAGGGAGTAAAATTGGGTTTCTATGAAGTAGTTCCAAAGATTGTTGTCCTCTTAGTATCGGCAAAACTTTTCAGTGAAAGCTTTTACAGCTTACAACTCTTTTCAGAAGACTATATGCAGGAAAATAGCGCCGCTAAATTACATTATTACAAGAATGCCTGTTTAATTTCTGAAACAAATTCCATTTTTAATTTGATTGCCATTTTGACGTATTCCTTTTCTTAATGCTTCTTCAGAAAAAGGGATAGGTATCTGAGAAAGGTGAATTTTTAACATTTTGGGCACAACTTTCCTTTATGTAGCAGGAATCATCATTTATTTATCATTTCTGCCAAGAATCAAAGTATTAAAAAATAGTTATGATTAGATGAAGCAGAATTACTGTTATTCGAAATTAAATTACAGGTACTAGATTAATTACTGATCATTTATATTAATTATATTTTAGAGACAATATTTAGACCTTGCCTAGTAAAATGCAATCTGAAACGTATGTCTTAAATCGTGCTTTCCACTTATCTATGTGGTTCCGCATAAATATGATGATTTCATATGCAGGGTGGTACATAAATTTTAAAATAGCGATTAAAGAATTTGTCTCCTATATTTTGCATGAAAAACTCTCTAAGACGAATAATAGCTTCACGAAAACTTGAACAAAAGAAATAGGCTTGATTGGTCTGAATAAGAGAATGATGATATTGAACTTACTAAGATATTCATTATGTATATGCATGAAAGAGGAAAGTATCAACTCAATTAAAATTGGAAGAATTTAAAATTACTAGCATATTATTAACTTTCTTTAAGAACACATGAAACATTGATTAAAATGTTAATTGTTAATGAAACGTTGATCAAATATTAATATAATATGGGCTTTTAGACTCTAATGGATGTCTAAGACAAGAAATTCTTCTTGCTATTGACATGAAACGTTCCAGTTTTGCACAGTTTTTTATATTTTCAAGATTTTTAATATAAGATAGAACATACAATTAGAAAAAAAAAAGAGTTAGCCAATGTTTTTAAATTGCAAGTATTAAAATATATTTTAAGGTTAATTCCTTTTAATTATAAAAGAGCAAAAGAAAGAAACTGGAGAGCTTTCGGTTTTGAAAAAGAGACCAAAAAGATTAAGAATTAAGGATTTCATTAAAAATCCAAACAGATTTAATGAAGAAGTATTATTTAATGTGAGTTTTCTGGTTTAGAACTGTATTATCTTTAAGAACGCATATGCTTTGCACAAAATGACACGGTGTACAAACATAGACAATTAACAGATTGTAAGAAAGAATACTGTTTGTAAAAATAAGTAGCGATCTGAACTGCATACTCTTGCTTGCTGATATCAGTCATAATTTCAGATAAGAATGTACTCAATTTGATTTACTATTTGTGGGTTAGGCTGGGTTCCTTAGACTCTAATGGAGTCTAAGGAACTAATGGAACTTAGACTCTAATGGAGTCTATGGAGGAACTTCTCTTCTTAGATAGAGAACCTTCAAGTACTTTCTATAATAAAAGCCTATGATTTTGTATTTAATATGTATTGATATTCACAATTAAGTTCCAGTTTATGTTCATGCCATGCCTTCGAAATATTTTATCCTATATATTTTAGAAATCTCTAAATTTTAGTATATTATTTCTTTTCTTTCTATGCTTAGTAATAAAAGTATGTTACTTATTTTTAACTTTTTAAAAAATTATCTTAATTTTTCTTACTTGTGGATAAATTTAAGCTAATCTGATTTTAAATTCCTGCCGTGAAGCAAAATTTATTACTTTAACTGGTTATTAAGCCGACATGAAATTTACCAATCTCATTCGGTTTCATAGCTTCTAGATAGACATATATCGTGTTCAATTTTAAAACTGATCATAGAACACTCTGATATTGTTGTTTCTGATCCTCCTGATTTGAACCTACAACCTGATCAGAACCAAGAATTTTATCGAGACCATGAGGCAAAGATAAGCAAGCGCCTGTCATTGGTTTAAAAGTGACAGCAC